ACCTCTCATAGCCGTCGTGAGTAGACAGATTAACGCGTAGTCAAATGCAGTCTTGCAGTCAATGGCCTATGAATAAGATATTAATTGGTATAGATTATGTCAGCTAAATAACGACCGATGAAAGATGTATTCCATTTGTCATTATAAAAGTTACAGAACAGACAAAATGTGTTAACTTAACTTCTGCTTTTATTTTTATATCTGTATATAGATTTGTGTAGTATCTGTGCAACTGTCCCGTGGTACGACTTAATGACTGTATTACGTCAGACGGCTGGAAACTCGCAATGTCACTCTTCTACACGTGGATGCCAAGCAGACAGGACGTGTCTGGGACAGCAGCGGAGTGGAGAGTCGACCCAGGGCAGAACCTGCTGTGTTTGTTCTGAATATATGCTGACACTGTATTTAAATGCATACTTATAAAGAACACTCATACGGCGTTTACTTCACTGGCGCAATATTCGTGGGGCCTGGAAATTCCCTTATTGCTGTCAAATTAGGATTTTTCAGGCATCGGTTTTAGCCGCCATTTTTGGTGCTGCGAAATGTAGGTACATGTACCTGACAGCACGTGTTGATTTTGTATTTATTATTTTCTTGAATTGACTTTTTGAATTGATTTTTGAATATTTTCTGTGATTTAACTTGATTATTTGTGACTTTTGATTATTAATATGTCTGTAGAGGAGGCTGTGTCGGCTTTAGGCCTGAACACGCACCCAGCTTTCATGCGGTCAGAAAAAATAACTTCTTATTGGTATTGTGGGGAAAAACAAGTACTTTTGTCAAACAGAAATGAAAACGAATTAGCCTCAATGCAGTAGTACATGTACGTCTCATTTTATACCTTAGTCCCAGAGAAAATATTAGAAATGACACTTTCGAATTGAATGAAGTATCTAAATATAGTACCTAAACGATTTTGCACACTATAAATTGTCTTATTTCTTTATAAAACGGAAAACTCATATTTTCAACTGATGAATTTTTAGGAAATCCAAATTATTTCTTATTAATGAATAATGTATTTTGTTAATTCAAATTTATTTGATAAATACACACAGTTGTGCTCATTTCTGTAATTTCCCAAATTTTATCTTTGGAAGGGGTATCCTGTACCGTGAAAAACGGACCGGGCTGCTTGTTTATATATTTTTATGATTTGGTGAATTCGATTGGGATGGGAGAAGTAATTCACATTTAAAGGTTATCTATGCATTTAAAAGATTATATATCAGAATGTTCTTTCCCTTTATTAATTATGAGGTTAACAATAGTATTACTTCCATTAATAACATTTAAAAAATAAAAAAAAAACAATAGTATTACTTCCATTGATAACATATAAAAAAACATGTTCTTTTCGTATATCCATGCACAGGGTTGTGTATTATTTACTATTTACAAACTACAGGACTCTTCCTTTTAAAACTCTAAATTTCATGTATCGCATATAAACGCACATTACACAGTCTGTTAATTTTCATTAATTCGAATTTATTCTTCATGATGATACGGCAATATATGTGTCTGATTCTAATAAATATTTTGAGCAGCCAAAAGTTACAAGTGGATATGAAAAAAAAATTTCTCTTTTCATCCGATCAGAAACGTACTGTTTATCTTCTCCAATACAGTGTCTTGCATTCAGACGCATGCCATTATCACGCAGATCGAACGGGTTTGATGTTGAAGACTTCCTATCTTGTAATCGGAAGAATTCGATGGTTACTGGGCGACAATTGATGCTTACTTGATTACATTGTTACATATATTGTAAGGTTAATTAGATAAATCAGAAACAAGGTATTGTGGAAAATGTATAGCTGATGTTTAACTAAGCGATAGATATTTTTCATTCTATTTTATGTAATTTATTGTCCCCCGCTTGAAAAGTGGGGGATATTAATTTGGGTTTGTCCGTCCGTGCGTCTGTCCATCCGTCCGTCCGTCTTTCTGTCTGTCTGTAACGCTTTCGTTTCCATACGATATCTCGATAACAATTTGAGCTTTTGCACAATTTAGCATAGCAACTCCCTATGGACTAAAGAAGACCCTTATTGATTTTGAGGTCAAAAGATCAAAGGTCAAGGTCATAAATAAGCAAATTCTGTATATTATAACACTTTAGTTTCCAAACGATATCTCTAGAACCATTTGAGCTATTGCAATGAAATTTTACATAACAACTCCCTATAGCCTAATAAAGACCCCTATTGATTTTGAGGTCAAAAGGTAAAAGTTCAAGGTCGTAAATTTATATATTCTGTCTGTGTGTAACACTTTCATTTCCGAGCGATATTCAAGAAGATTTTGAGCTTATGAAATAATTTTATATCAAAACTCCCCAGGACCTCTCTCACCCCTCTCAAAGTGCCCCACCCCGTTTGTTAAGTATTTTTAGTATTACATGTGGCTATTTTAGCATAGGGGCATGAGGAGAGTTATTGCGTATAAAACAGGTTCTCGGCGGACGTTATGTTCTTATTACATCTATTAGAACTGTTTAATAAAGGCTTAATAAAACAAACACCGTATATTGTGAAAAAAATTTGAAAATACCGAACATGAATGTATACATGTATGTGACTTCATAATTGCATATAATTTGCTTCCCGATAGAGCGACACCGTGGTCTAGTGGTATGTCTCTCGCGTCACATGTGAGAGGTCCTGGGTTCGATTCCCCGACGACTCATTAATTTTTTTCATGAAATACTTTTTTTAACTAAATAATAGTATTCAGCTTGTGAAATGAAAAATTTATGAGGTGTGGCTTGTACAAACTCATAAGATCATCGTTACAGAGTGTTAAATATTCCATATAAAAAGAATCTTCTAGACACATAATAAAGAATAAGCAATCAAATCTTTATATCCATATTGCCATATTTTGTTTGCTTCACTATACATGTATACATTTAATAATTCTACAAATTCAGTCAGGGGGATCCGACCCCCCTCCCCTGTGCATTGTTTACTTTTTCCGTAAGCCGGGGACACAAATTCTCTGAATTAGCTTGTTATATTCACTATACGAGAGCTGTCCAGTGGATTTGTGGGCAAAGCGTTTTTTCTCAAAAAATAAGCACTTAGATGAAATTTCCAGTAAATGTTTAACTATCATTTTTAAGTGCATCATAATTGTTTTGATAATATGTAGTCAAAAATAAAGATTTTATTATGCTTGAATGAGAATAGGGTAAGGACCTATGGCGTACGGTAAGAAAAAAGATTATATAAGAGAATAAACAGGTACTAATATTCGAAATAAAAGTTTAAGATATGTAAGATTGGGATAAAATTATCCTAATTCGATTCCACAATCAATTTTGTCGTCTTTTTAAAAAGTTAAAGACACTTAATTAATTTTGGCTGTCTCCCGAACATTCGAAATAGGAAAGTGATAAACAAAAGTGCAGTCATCTGATCGAGTCCCTGGGTAGTACAAAACATAAAAGCCCGTATACACGGTGAGATTTGTATTATAAGATTTGTATTATAACATAAAATGTTACTGTGTATACACTCTTAATACAGTGTACCATAAAATTTTTCAAATCTTATAAAACTGTATAAAGAATAGAGCAATGCTCTTTCTTCTAATACAGTCTTAGCTTACCAATCACTTTCAACCAATGAAATGTAATGACACTAGGGGTCATCCTATTTTTATCATTACTTTAAAAGCACATGCTAAATAATAATGATAGACTTTACATGTAAAAATATCGGAAAACTCGTAGCTTAATGGGAAGGGGAAAATGACTTGTGGAATATATCAAGCAGTGCATAGTACGATGATAGACACTGCGATCAGAGCCTCATCCTCTATTTTTATTACTTTGACAGAGAGAGAAATATGGCGGGGAAAAACACGTTGGAATACATAGGAATTTACAATCTTATAAGAAATCTCTTAGCGTCAGTACAGGAAAGTATTACCGATATAATACAAAAGTATTATAATACTTACATTCTACTTCAAATCTCATCGCGTATACCGGCTTTAAGGACATGCGGTTTTTTGTACATGTAATGACAAAAGACTCTGACATTGTCAACCATCGATATAAGATTGTCTATTAGTTGAATGATCGTGAGAATACTGTCCGTAACTTACTTATATATCTTCAGAAGATCGCATGTGTGTGCAAGATTGGTTCCTCAACTGTCTATCCATATAAGTGAATCAATGGCATTTGTAAATTTAAGTGGGACTTTTCTAACTGAGATATGACCCAGTTTTAGACACTTTGACGCTATCGTCCGTGAGCCATAAGGAGATACAATACAAAACATAAAATCTCACAATTTATTTATTTATGTTTATATTTAATATTTATAATTTTCTATGTATATTCATTATATATTTATTAAAAGTGGTTGAATTTACAGAAGAAATTAAAGCAGTCATGATTATTTTTTTTTACACTAGACAACTTGTCCATGATTTTACCCGACAACCTTCGTACAAAACAATCTCAATCTAAATTGCCATTGTTTATTTTTGCAATCAGTTTCACAGATATTGAATATTTGTTTTTGGATGAATGATTCACTTTCATTTTATTTTTTTGAATGTGAGGCAATGATTGTGATTTTGAATATATTTTTATCACATAAACAAACAATAAGATACTCTTAAAAAAACAGCGCATTCAACAAATGCCACTCAATGCATCATTAACGAAATCAACACCATGATACATTTGTATGTTGTTACTTATACTCATTTGGTACAAACAACACACGTGAGTGGTTTATTCTCTATGTAAGGACTGCACCTTAATGCACCACATCTTGCAACTACGGGGTAAATGAGCATTCCATTTTTATCTTCAAAACCGCCTGGGACTGATTGTATTTTTTCATCTACACAAATATATTCTGTAGCAGCTACATGATTATGATATCCCGCTCCTAAGTATCCTTTGTATTGCAGTGTCCATCCCTCATAGCAAGACGTTCTTGCGGGGATCATTATCGAGTCCGTACCTGTCTTAGCCTGGCAAACACTGCAAGGAACGTCTTGTTGATGTGCATTTTCTCCAAACATATTGCTCTCGTATTCAGTTCCAAAAGCATAAGCAAGATAACCAGCTGCTGTTCGATCTCCCCACTGAGGCTCTTCAGGAAGACAGATAAAGTTTGATGCTGCACCTTTATGTGCATAATGAGACCCAGCGGCGTAACCTGTTGATAAGCAGTAAAATTAAAATGATTAAAACATTAAAGAGGTTTCAATTGCGCAATAGCAAATTAAAGCGCTTTAGTCTTTTAAGGTAATATTTTCACAAAATTAGTGAAATTTAACAAAATTCAGCTATAAAAAGTCAAAAACCTTAATTCATTTTATAATTGATTTTTAAATGATTTTTCGAATGATTGGTAAAGACGTAAACATTTTTTTAACAGTGTTTAAACAGTGTTTTTGACGTTAGGATAAACTGGGAATTTTTATTAGAATTTTTTAAAAGCAAAAATATGCATAAGAAGCTCTTGAAATTTTGAACATAGATTTTTAAGAAACTCACAATTATCACCAAGTATAAGTTTTCTGTATAAAATTAATATGTTGTATTTGGCATTTGTTGTAATACTCAATTAACAGAAAAAATTGCTAATTCAGACATTTTGAGATGCCATTCTGTAAACCAGACGGTAGACCTTTGGGTTTCCTAAAAATGATATAATTTAAAATACCGGTATAACACAACTCATCATCATAATTTGAGCAAACTGTCTATTGTAGTTTTTGTATGTATTTTGCCTGAAAAACAAAAAAATGGGCATTGCACCCATATAACCATATAGTTAATGTTCCTGTATTTTGGTACCGTTCCTAGAAATACCTAGACAGTAGCTTTTCCCTGAACTGGGCAAGTACAAGAGTTGTCGGTAAAACCGTAGACAAGTTGCCTTGCGTGATTAATAATTATAACTGCGCTATGAAATTTTCACTACTCTTTAGAAAATATTTTTTGAATAAACATAGCAATTTTCAAATAAATATATGCATAAATGAATAAATAATGAGATTGTATGTATTGTATCGCGATATTACATCATCTAAATCAAACTAAACTGCTCTCCGGTGCGCCGTAATGTCATCAAACGTCGCAATTTTTTGCGTGTTCTGTTTACCACCTTTCCATTTCAAATGACCGGTCACGGTAGCCTAGTGGTAGAGCGTTCGATTCTCGAGCGCGGCGCCGCGTCATACCTAAGGCGTAAACAAAGGTAGTGACTGTTCCTTCGCCAAGCGCTCGGCACTAGAAGTGAAAGTCACGGGTCTTTCTAATATGACCTTAAAAACGTAGGTCCCGTGTCACGGTAGGCGTTGGCACGATAAAGAACCCTCACTGCTCAATGGCCCTGAGTGCCGAGTATAGGTCTAAATTTGAAGCCCTTCACCGGCATCGGTGACGTCTCCATATGAGTGAAAATTTCTCAAGAGGGAAGTTAAACAATATTCAATCAATCAATCAATCCATTTCAAATGCTCAGGAAACACCAAAAAAATAACCAAATGCCTTAAATTTTAAAAAGGATGACAAAATAAATCTTTGAATCGAATGAGGATACTTTTTCCCTAATCTTTTCTATTTTAATCTTTTATTTCGAATCAATACTCATGGTTCCTCTAATAAAACCCCTTTTTCTATTTCATTAAAAAATTATTTCGCACTTCAAATTGATAATAAACATTAACAGAAAATTTTAGCTTAGTGCGCTCATTATTATTTTAAAAAAAACGCTTTGTCCACGATTTTACCAAACAAACCTTGTATACTGAAGTCGATGCATGTTGCATATGGTATAAAATTGAAATGTTTATCTTTTGTAGTTGTCATACAATAAAACTTCTTTTTGAAGAGGGTATGAATTAAATAAAGTGTGTATTAAAGTTATAAGATAAGATTACAGTCAATTTAAGGTTACTCGCTATAAAATGTTATCAACAATAGAATGGTTTTGTTTTGAATATTTTTGATTGAATGAAACAACAAGGATTGGAAACAAGTTCTTGCAACTTACTATTTCCTCTACCAAATAATCCGGTAGATAAAGAAATCGATACAAATGAAACGAAAATGGACAAAATAAGAAAAATGCGCAAATATCATAATCAAATGAAGCAATACGTATACAGATTGTGATCAGAACATACACGGATTTCTTAAAACGTGGGATTCCCATCTGTAACCCTTACACTGGCGTTTTTTGAATAATGTTTTTCTCGGAGTTTTAGATGATATGATACCAAGGACAATTCGCTAATTAGAAACTATTTATAATGGATTAAATTACCTATTGCTCGAGTCAATATAAAAACTGAATATTGTATTATTAAAGGAACAAGAACATATTCACTGAAAATTCAGTTCGGTCAAATTAAAAAAAAAAATTCAATTAAATCACGATAATTTTTTTTTTTTTTTTTGTTTTTGTTTTTGTTTTTGTTTTTGTTTTTTTTTTTTTTTTTTTTTTTGCAATATCACTCACCCTTTGATTCTAAACATCATATTTTAAAGATTATGAGTGACATAGCTTATGTATTATTTCAAATAATTGAATGTCATGCGTTGAGGTACCTCAATCCAGGCACCATAGCTCATCAATTTCATTGACTTGACCCTCTTTAAGTGTCGTAATAGTTCATTTGGTATATTTTAAACTGTAGATAAATTAAACATACTATGATTTTATAAATGTAAAAAAAAATATTATTAAGTATGAACTTAAACTTAAGTCAGACTGCAATTACATTTTCTAACATTCGTTTTCTCCATACCATTAAACATATCCATAAAACATATCCATATCACTAAAGCATACTGCATGGTAGTATTTATTTATTTTTTTTTTTTGATTTGGAGGTATCTTTTTCTAGTTAGAATACTGAAATATATTCATTTATAAGAGTTATAACAGATGAATGATGATGAATGAAATAGAATTTGAGGAGTGAAAGGAAAATGTGTAAAAAATAGAACAAATGATTTGAATGCATTTCAATCTAGGTATATCTCCAAAAGTCACACTGATGTACGACTATTTTTTATGACGATATCTGACTTGAAAGAATGCACGCAGGTAGGTTAAGGTTACAACCAAATATTCAACTTGCCTATATGATGTGACGTCATAGTAAGCTATATGACGTGAAGTTTAGAGATAACAATTTCTTAAAATCGATATCTAAGATTGATTTGAGGTCGTAAAAATTAATCAAAATATGAAGAGGCATAATACAAACAAAATTTTGTTGTTTCTGGGTCTCTGTAATTATCACAGGGGTTAAATACCAAACCCGTGACGTCATAACTGTTGATCATGCAGTAGCAAAGTGAAAGTGAAACGTAACGAGAACTCATGTAAACAAACACAAGAAATCGGAGTTTAAAAGCATTTAGAATGAATATCATGTGTAATTCATGTGGGAATAAAGCTTATGAATAAGGTATGGTAATATACTTCAACAATTTCTTCGTAAAATTAAAGCAGGGAGGGTGTTTACTTGCCGATCAGCCTTTCCTCTGTCGTTCGTAACAAATAAGATGCAAAAATTCAACACTACGCCGCGCACTTGGAAACTTAATTTTTGTTTCTATCTAAAGTTCTTATTCTATTGTTTTTGAAAAGTGCTGCTAGAATCGTATAGTTTACGGGAATTAATGCATTTTTTTCGATGTTCTGAACAAAATAGAAAAATTTTGGGAAGGTTTAATCAGAAAGTGTTGAATAATTATTTCTTTGATAGGACAGTAGGATTCTAGCAGCACTTTTCATGGTACAGAGATGTTTTTACATAATTATTATTACAAATTGAAATTAATTATCCCCGGGGTAGTGTTGAACCTTTCACTTTTTCATTTAGGCATATTTTCTAATTATAGACGTCACGTGGTGACGTCGTGGTGAAGTGCTTCATATAGTACAAGTCCCATTGAAGTCTATAGAATGCATAATTATAACAAAAGTTTTATGCTTGACTTATAAAAAAGTCTTAATTCGCCGAATTTTGGTCCATGTGTTGCCTTAACATACCCGCTTGTGTTTATATTGTATATTGTAAAATGAGTAAAATTTTGTATGGTGCAGGTTCAGATATGGTTTAAGGACAGACGAGACGTTCCTTAATAACAGATAAATTTTTTCAAGAGTGTGTCATTGAAGTATTGCTACTTAAACATGTTTACTCACAAAAAATTGAGGTACCTTACCAGGCATTTCTGCAAGATACCAGGAGTTGTTTTTCTTATATAATCCTTTGGGGAAGAAAAATAATTTTCCAATTTCAAATGTTTAAGTGTTTGGATTAAAAAAAAAAAGTTAGAAACTGATTTAGAAATCCGAATGTTATTAAAATTTTGAATATTTTTCATACATTACGAAGATATACAAAACGGATTTTGAGGAACGTCTCGTCTGACCTTAAGGTTTAAGAAGCTTAATTGACATCTAGATGTATTCTTATTTGGCCCGGATCCACAACTGGGAATTTATTAAATATAATAAATCATTTTGAGATTTGAAAATATTTGAGTCAACTTATATTTACTTAATGTAATTTAGTTTTATGGATGTAGAACAATGATAGTATTTCCATTTTATTGTACATATGAAAAGTACAAAAAGTCTAACAGTAGTGTGCAAGGAGATAATATGAGTGTATCAGATGAGTGTATTATAGATTTTATGCTAACTGAGTAATTTGTAAACCAATATTCCGTATGAGAAGAATTTTTAGCGAGGATTCTGTAAAAGAAATGATATAGGGTTTCAGTAGTGAACATTTGTTTAAGGGGAGACAGGGAACACCATCGTCCTTTCGGTCAATAATCGTACTTGCCGGGGGACATGATGCTGCCAACGACAGGGAATTGGAGACCAGTGAATGTCATCTCACTGAAATTGTGCTTGAAATCCAGAGGAGGTCCCCAAATACCGAAATATGCATATCGGAAATACCACCACGACGAGATGCTGATGTTAAACACGTGAATGAAATGATAAAATTTGTATGTTAGGAATATAGTGTCAACATGATCTCTCTACAAGATAAGTTTTAGTCATTAGGTATGTTCTGGAAGGATGGGATTCACTTATCCGACAAGGGAACATATACACTATTGAATTCCTATAATGCGCACATTCCGGTCATCAAGGCCCGCCATCAGAATAGTACA